GTTTATGAAACTTACAGGATCTTTTATTAGATATTTGGTGGTAACAAATAATTTTTTTCGATACAAAATTGTACGTAGAAAGCCATGTATATGGGGGCGTGTTCGTGAACTTCCTTGTCACCGAAGTTACGAATTTGCGAGGATTGCAGAGCCTTTAGTTTTTGTCTTAAACAAAAAAGCCTATGTACCTAAGACTTTGATAAATAAAATTAAATTATGGAATTTTTGTTGGCAACATTTTTGCCGAAACCAAATTTCTTGTTTCGGCTCCTACTATTTTTCCAATTTTGTACTTTTTTATCTATCACACGTGCATCGACAGTATTTGGCCTCCTAAATGTGCTTTCGCCTTTTAAATCGCTCAATATTACCAATTAAACATTGTTAATAAATTGCTAGGTAATCAATTAAAATTAAATTCCGCCAATTACTGATTCGAGGCGATGGAACATTTCTGCGTCGAGTGTACAAGCACGATATTGCAGAGGGTGGAATGTTTAGTGCTCACAATAAGAACTTTGGAACACCTGCCAAAGAAGAATCCGTTGATATGATTTTACAAGCGTGCAATGGACCGAGCGAGAAGTTATTTCGTTACCGTGCATATCTGAAGCAAACTGCGAATGAAAGTTTACGCAGCATAATTTGACGGAAGTAACCGAGAGATCCTTATCGAAGCCAAAAAGTTTAGTTCAGGATATTCACTCCAAATCATTTAACCGAGTGTATATCGACTACAGCTTTATACAAAGTATCCTAAAGCGTGGGGAACCAGTTCGGGGACCAATTCGGTTGATTTACTGGCTTGATCACTGAATTGGTGATTAATCGAAGTAGAAAATATTTAATGAGCTGTTTATTGATCGAGTTTGAGATGGTCGTGTTGGAAAATGAGTTGGACGAGGTTTTAGGAGATAATTCGTCTTAAGAGAGAGATGGAATCTTGAGAAGCAGACGGACACGTCCCAAGAAATGGTGTGCGCAAAACTTGAGCACATACGTATACTGATCGTTGATCAATAAGTTCTCATGGCAGTAGCGTATTAACGTAGAGGCTCCGCTTGCAAGATAAATTACTTATTGTTGTCTTGGTAATGAGATATCATGCTAGGATATCGATTGTTACACAGAAGATCACACTTCAAGTCAGATGAATACTCTGATAATACATAATATTTTGCGTTATCGTTCAAAGAATATCGATGATAGATTCACGTGTTAGGGCTCGAATCTTACCATATGGATGAACAAGGGGTGGCATCGCAATATCACACTTCGCATGAGACAAATGTCCTTAGGATATTTTTCTATTGCCATATTTTGCATGATCATTTATAAACACCGCGCAAAGCAAAAATCTTGTTGATAAAAGTTCATTATTTGTTTAAGATACGAATAGATTGTTTTTGGCCAGCAAAAGAATCCCAGTCTTTATATAAATATTAATTCATGTTATTGATATGTCAATTTAAGAAACAAGTGCGACAACTAAAGGTGCGAGTAAGTACTGACCAAATTACACACATTTTTTTCCATTTACGTTGTATTTTTTTTTTAAACATCCATGATTTCGATTTACAGGTTTCCATGTACGGTGTAAATCGCGAGTTAGGTGTAATTCACTTCCTAGCATCAATGCAAGTGCAAAGTACAAGTAAGTTTCTACGCCTCTGCCTCAGGATATTTCATCGAGTGCATCGCACATGTGCAGAACGTCTTCGTGTAACTCCCTGGTCTCCGCGAAGTCATCCGTGTGCCAAGGTTGGATCAGATCCTCAAAAATCATCCCCCGTTCAGCTTTTCAATATCGGAATCCTCTCGTATGAAATTTCATCGGGCATTTGATTTTCACAGGTTCTCCTCGCGATAAAAAGAGTTCCTTCTACAGCGACAAATCAAAGCTGAAAAATTGAGGACGACTTTCCAACGAATTCCAATGTTAAATTTCAATTTCACATTTAAATACGTCGAGCATTCTTTCTTTTCACTCCGCGTAGTTGAACAGTTTTCATGTTCCGAGTACGTTCGGAAAGTATTCTAAGCTATTTCGATCCTGTTCGCAAACATTCTCTTCTGGCCGTTTGCTTGGTAATGGGAATATGATTCCTTGAAATATCGTATCAACAACTTTACGCTTATTTACGTTTTCCAGAGAGGCATGCAGTTCCAGAATATCCAACCCTTCTACGCGGATTAGATGTGTGAAATTGAAAACTTTAACGAGAGCGCTGAAACGTTATTACTTATTAGTTTTAGGCGAATACCGACGCAACCGTCAGCTGCTACAATATCCGCGGAGCTTTTCGACGTAAAGAGATCACGCGTAGTATCTTTACTACGAAAAATCAGTTTTGGTATGAAAACAAATGTGTCGCAAGTCGGGAAGTATTAGAAATAACGAACCGATATTACTTGAATGTGTAGTAACGAGTTAGAAAAATACTGAACATTTGAATTCAACGACTTCCAAAGTTCAACGATAAATAAACAAATTTTAAATATAAAATTTATTTAAGAAAAATTGGTAGAAGCTATCGAGTCGATTCTAGTTGTCACCTCGTAAAATCATCTTTTGAGATAATAGTGTCAATGGGAAACACAGCTGTGACGGGGTGAAATATTTCTAATTTTTGTAATCTTTTTCTTTTAGTTAATTAATTATCTTTCGAATAAGGGAAGAGGTTATGCTACCAAGAGTACACTGAACTATATCTATACAAATTTTTATTGAAAAATACTGAAATATAACATAGTTATACAGATTAGGTTGTAACAACAAATACTGTAACGAATGTTAGATTAGGTGGTTTCCAATTATTTTCAAACAAAACTTCAGAAGATTCGGGTTGTCTCGAATGAATTCAAAATAAATACAGTGGGTGTAGAATGTATTCGTACACCGATCAATTTCCCAAAAAGCTTTTGTGTGAAATTGTAGTTTCTTAACTTCTTTTTTTATAATCAATGATATTTTACATATTTTCGGAAGTCTCTAAGATAAATATAGTCCAAACAACATTTACTAGTTAATATATTTTGTGAAATTAACAAAAAAATGCGAAAAGTGGGTAAAGGTATAGAAGCAATAAATATTTGTACGATTCTTATGACGAACCATTTACAGTAGAGTTTGTAACGTAAACACGTATGATTTATATTATTGCTCCGTATGAATTATAAAACATCAAATTTCCAGTAAAGTACTTTTAAACATGGCTCTAATAGAGGAATTGAAGAAGATCCCACTTCGAATAACTAATAATTTAGTTAATTTAATGCTTAGAAGAGTTGCAATAATTATAAAATCAAAAGGAAATCCCACGAAGGAAGTATTATACAGGGTGAGTCTTATAACGTGACAATCTGAAATAAATCGTAAGGTATTTGTTATACGACAAAATGTTTCAAACAAAAGTTGCATGGTATCTAGGGGGACATGCAGTGCTGTAATCTGTTTTTCATTACCTTACTTTTTTGTTTAGATATTAGGGTTACCTTCAGTTTTTTAAATGGAATGTCTGATATTTTTTTTCGAATTCGGATAAATCATTAGATTTTGCGTAAAAAAGTATTAATGAAGTGGGACTTGAAATGAATAATTACTGAGATATCTTGAAATTAATAATCCTCTGTTAGGAAATACGCTTAGTCAACGTGATTCTTAGCACGACTTTATCCATGTCGGTAGGTCATGTCTATAAACAAGTTCCTTGTTATATATTAGTAATCATCAACACGAAAAGCCTATTTAGTATCTCGGTAAGCGTTAAAGTCGTATTGAGAAAGGTACTACATTTTTATTACGATGTTCGGTAACAGTGAAACAACATTATGATCATTGTTTATGGTGCGTGTGAAGAAAATGCTAAATACAAGAGGTAAGATCTTGTACCAAGCTAAGTATCCTAATCGAAATCAGCCATCGCATTCTACTTTCCTAAGACTTAATCGAAGACTCAAAGAACATGGCAATTTTAATGTATAGACACGTAAAAGGTATCAGAAAGTTGTGAATAATGAAGGATGTCGTACTTTAACCTTAGCAACTATTGCCAATAAACTTCTTTTATAAATATCTCAGTAATTTCTCATTTGAAGTCTCACTTCATGTAATACTTTTTTACGCAAAATCTAATGATTTATCCGAATTCGAAAAAAAATATCAGACATTCCATTTAAAAAACTGAAGGTAACCCTAATATCTCAATAAAAAAGTAAGGTAATGAAAAACAGATTACAGCACTGTATGTCCCCCAAGATACCATGCAACTTTTGTTTGAAACATTTTGTCGTACAACAAATATCTTTACGATTTATTTGAGGTCGTCACGTTATAAGACTCACCCTGTATACTTATAAATAGACTGCGGATCTTTATACAAAATAAAATCTTCACGAACGTGCCTACAAAAATTGAACCTAAATAGGAATTTATTTTATTCTGGAAATAATATAACATGAACTTTACTGTCAATCTTTTTTATATTCTTGCTTATTATTTGCATTTTGTAGTTTCTCGTACATTCAAATTTTCTATAAATGCATAAAGATCCGCAATGTACTTATAACTTTATGTAAATTTCTTTTTTTTTTAATCAAGTGTTAAAAATTAAACAGTTGTGCGTATACTTATTGTTTCGACATTTCTATCGATTAATTGTTTTTTTCTTGTTAATTTCGTAGCTTACATAAATA